TTTCATTATTGATGGGTACCTGTGATGTGAGTAATCCATCTGTAAATCAGATGTCCAATTAGGTTCGCTATTTGGTCTAGCTAGCTACTCTAAGGTTGCTCGCTAGACCAAATAGCGAGCGCTCTTTGCATCAGTCACCTCACTCTGCATAGATTGGCGTTGCACTATATGCATCCAAGCATAACACTTTGCATTTTTTCACATCGTATAAAAAAAAAATAACCATATCGCGCGCGATCATAAAATGTTTAGCGCTGCTCCGTAGTCAGGGCCAAGATGTGCTTCGCTGACCTTGTTGTCATGGCGAGAAGTTCTGCAGCCGGCGCTAGCACACCACGCCCCAGCAAAGTGTGGACCTCAGACATAACCAGAGTACTAGGCTATAAAATTATGCACAAAGGTCCGCAGCTACGCACTTGCGACAGAGGAGAAAACCTGAGGCCGTGAACAAAACAAACACATGAGAAGCTGTGGATGTCTCGGGCTGATGCAAAACGTCACCGCTATGAAACTTGAAGCTGAGGTGCTGTCATCGTCTTTAAGCTCGTCTTCACTGAATTCAGATGCGATTGCAATATAGTTTCAAGTGGCGCATGTTTTTTGCAGTGCAGGTGCGCGTCCATACATGCGTGACGACGGCATAGGAGCGACTAGTGACACTAGATGCGGTGCTGTCTGATATAATGGTGCGCAGGTGCGCGTCCATACGCACGTGGCGACGACGCCATAGGAGTGACAAGTGACACTAGGTCTGGTGCTGTATCTGATATGATACAAGTCAAACCAAAGCTGCTGGAAACTGGCTGATAAAGCCACCTACACGCTTCACACATGCGATGGGCCTTCTGAAATGCTTTTTTGTAGAATAAATTTCACTGACTCCTAGCAACAGCTCTCTATTGAATAGCTGGTGTACATTTCTGCAAAATATAACTGCTCATCACTGTCAGATTGCGGAGCTGACACCTTGAATCGATGTTTGACTTGCAAAGGTTTTTTTGATTACAGAAGTTTGATTTTACTGCAGCATAACTGCGAGGGGCACGCACTTTTGTCATGTTTGCCACCGAAGTCCATTTTCCCAACAACACACGCATATTAGTTCGCACAAAGGGCTGTCTAAAAACACTGTGTAGCCAAAACGAGCCAATTCAAATTGATTCTGAGAGGTTAGGTGGCTGGATTAACAACTAAAGTGTGCTGAGTGCAAGAGCAACAAATTCAACATGCCAAAATCGACAATCCAAAGCATGGATCACCGGTGATCGATTTGAATAGGCATGGTAACAAAATAGTTAAGAGACCTTGGTGCATAGCTGGGATCTGGAACCAAGGTATTGTGGTTTTCTTTCTGGCGTTATTGCTTTTCCTGAGGTGAACGTGCGGGCGAGCTTGCGGCACTCTTCAGCTTGTTGAGCAGCCTCGGAGACAGGTTAACACTCTGAAGCATCAGGGCTGTAGGGAACTAGTGTCGATTGTATGGGCCCACGATGCGGTGGTCGGGCTTGGCCTGACTGTCCCAGCATGGGAGCGGCCTGCTGCGCGTTGAGTCACCTCAGGACTTGAAGTTTCGCATCCATCGATCCATCCTCTTCGAAAGCAAACATTCTGCATGTTCACGGTGACTGGCGCTTTGAGAAATATTTGTGTCGCATGGATGTGAACATACTCAATTTCTCTCGTGACTTGTGCACTGCAGTTTTAAAGAAGGCACAACATTGGCGGCAGCATGGTTTTAAGCTGCTCAGCACAAGGTCACGGGTAAGATCCTCACTCACTACGAAAAGTTTTAATCTGAGATGAATGAAAAAAAGGAATAAAACAAACAAGAATTACATTTTTCTGTGTTTAGGCTGAGGTTAACAAATCCCTGTGAAAATTAAAGCAAAACTCTAACCCTACGGCATTCCCATAAGCCACTGAAAGTTTATGGGATTTTAACCCCAATAACTTAGTTCTGTAAATGATCTCTTGCGCAGTTACTTCGCCACATCTGATGCCTACAACGTGTTTGCATACTTTGCTATTTTAAACTTGATACACAAATTGCAATGTGCACTGTTATTTTATGAAGGCCGAGCCGTAATGGTACCGAATAACTATATGAGAAACAATAATCTCCTCTATTTCGATTAAGACGTATTAGGTCTCGGATAGTAGGAGTTATACATTCATTGGATTCGCCATGGCGCAGCGTATATGTGGCTTCTGCAATGCTGAAGCACCCTAATAGTTCATACATAATCGTATCCTTCAATCCCGGAGATCATGCACTCTTTTTTTTTTCTGCACACTGGGCAAACGATGAGAAGTATCTACCCGCAGATGATCGTGTCAAGTGCATTTTTACCTTGACTAAAATGTCGAATCGTGAAGTTCTGTCTCCGGCCGGTTAGTGCCACTAACCCAGAATGAATGCCAATGTTTTCGCAAACAAGAGACATCGTTATTCACACAGTATAGACCGTACATAATATTCTTCGTTTTACCGTTCTTAAAGGTGAATCAGTATTGTTCATACCTTTCAGCCACAGTAAGCTGAACTTTAAGCATTTAAAAAAAGAAAAAAACCTGTCGCAAGCACTGCATGGCTGCGCCACGCTGAAGCACCAGCAGCAATGCTTTGCCAACCATCGCCTTGCACATGCGCCGGTGACGGCGCTCTGTGATGTACCTTGGTAGAGGTTTATTCGCTGACTGCTTCTCAAACTGCCTCGATTATGGGCATTACACAGAAACTGTCGAACTACGCTCAAAATTTCACGTGCTGAAAGACTGCATTCATTCAGCTTTACGGGCGCACACCCGATTTCAAGACATCGCAATCGAATTGCAAACCACCAATCGAGTGCTGCACGTGCCACCCTCTGACAGCGCAAAGAGTTTCTTGTATTCTCTACCAAATCACAACTTAATAGCACGCTACTGCTACCGAAGTGCAACCAACGTTGATTAGGCCTAGCCTGCGGTTCGATATATTGTCGCAGAAAGTTTGACTAAGACATGAAGATCGGGCATCGAAAATGTCGCACTCAAGCACTGAACCAAAAACAACGTGCGTGATACAGAGTTTGAGTTTGCGGCCAGGAAATCAACGATAACCCACCAAGCTTATGTAACACCGCTCACAGGCAACAGATGCGAAAGCTCGCATCATAAAACTGTAAAAGCTTTTAAGCTTACGGGCAACGTTACAAATGCGGTATTTGTGACAAGCTGGATGACAGCGACTTTTTTCCGGACAGAAAACTCTTGAGTGCATCTGATAAGGTCGGGATCGCACGTGCCATGTTGAGTCGCACACAGCTGGCAGCAAGCGGCCTGAGCGATGCTGGTAAACTGTAGGCGCGGTGGTGGTGGACTGTGCTGGTGCAAAGGCTTCATTCGTCGCCTAGACCACCGCTCTCCCCCCACTCAGCGAGTAGCGGGCAGCGCTTTTTCTTTTTCCTCACTCCACATCCTCTCCTTCGTAATGACCTCTTCGCTCACTCCCTAGTGGCACGCCCAGCGCGCTCCCTACTGCGTTTGTCACAAAGATTTTTCAGCAACTGCATTAAAACCGGTCTTTCATCTTAGGGGATTGCACAATAAGTGGTATTGGTTTACATGTGGTTCTATGGGATGGTAAATGGGAGTAGAAAAAGACCGCATTATTAGCGGTTCTGCGCTATAGGCGGTTACGTTATAAGTGGTCTGTACTGTACTACATTGCACACTGCAAACAGGTTTGATGACTACTACATTTGTTTCTGTTACACCTGTGTGGATATAATAAATGTATAATTAATGCTCCAAGTTGTTTAAAAATTCAATTTTAACACAATCGTGTGCATAATATGTTATTCAACAAAAGCATTACACGAATGTATAAAATTCACGTTTAAAGCACTGGAGCCTCTGCCTGTTCAATGCTGTTTGCACGTGCAAGTACGAAGGTATACCAACTCTAAGCAGTGGCATTTGGGACCCCTTTACTCAAACAAACATAAAAATACTTGAACGGGTGCAACAGAAGACGGTCCGCTTCATCTACAATAACTGCTCCCGTATCTCTGCAACAGAACTCCTAAAACAAGCCAATTTGCCCGCACTTACGGAACGCAATCGTGTTTCCCAGATTAAAATTTTTATTTCAGCTTATGAATAAGCATTATAATAGTAATATTTCTGACATCATTACTTTTTCTTCTGGGTATGCGACAAGACAAAAGCATCACCTAACAAGGACTCCATCCGCGTAAAAAATAATTGTTTCAAATATTCTTTTTTTCTAAAGACTGTAATAACCTGACTAACACTCAAGTTGCTCAACTTTCACTGTCTTCATTTGCTGCAAATATCGGTTAATTACTTTCCAATCTGCAACATGATCTCGTTCAAATATGTATATTTTTCGCCATTTTTATGTAGTTGTTTTATATGCGTGCTCTGTATTGATCTTTATTGTATTTTTTTGGACTCAATGTTTGCTACCCTTTGTTGTTTTGCTGCCTAAATTTTTTTTACCATGACGATGTATTTCCACCCTGCTAAAATCCGTTATGGGGATTGCAGTACCTGTAAATAAAATAAAAATAAATAAGTATGGTCATGCACTTAGCTTCATCAAATTATATTGTAATGTGCATTTTTTCTCTCGAATGCTTGTATTATGTACAATGGCTAGCAATTCATTTCCATTCAACTACTGTGTGATTGACTGTGATGCAATTTTGTTTACTTGCACTTTCCGTACTGCTTTTTTCAAAAGAGCAGTCAACCTCTCGTTACATCTCACCAGTTCAGCACAGTATTTGGTGCACATCACTGTCTGTCATTTTTCAGGGGGCTCCATTCATGCAGTGGTTGCCAAACTGGTTTTGGCATGCAAGTTTTGTTCCAGGAGTAGCCACCGAGATGCACTCTAAGTAGACAAATGGGCGCAAGGCCCCTGGAATAAGGAAATCCAGAAAATAGTGTGTGGTCATTTGTTTGAACTTCTTTTTTTTTTTTTTTTGCAGGAAGTTGCGGGACAAGCTCATGATGGGCGACTTTCCCTCCAACATCAAGCTTCTTCAGGTACGCATGCTCTTGCAGGTTCTGTTGAAAGTGCATAGAAGCTAAGAATGATTTGGAACACGGAACACGCAGCCGCTCGCTGGCGAGGCGTAACGGCGGATAAATACAGGGGGAGTCTGCACATACGTGGTCTACCTAGCGAGATACTTTACCTCCTTAGTGCATCTAGATTGGCGTTGTCTAGTTTCAAAAGGGTAGCGCCAAGTGCTCTTCAGAGATAGGACAGCGAGGGTTGGGCGGATAGGGGCCTGTAGCACACTGTGCTCTATAATTTGCAAACATGAAAACTTGTTGATTCCTTGCAGTATGTTCTTGCAATCACCGTAAAAACCGAAATACTTTGAACTTCTAAAAAAGAAATTTTAAACAAATTGCGAAGTATTTTGGCGCGCCCTTACTTTAATAAATACGTGACACAACCAGCTGCACTGTGGCGCCCCACCACGGTGGTCTAGTGGCTAAGGTACTCTGCTGCTGACCCACAGGTCGCGGGATCGAATCCTGGCTGCGGGGGCTGCATTTCTGATGGAGGCGGAAATGTTATAGGCTCGTGTACTCAGATTTGGGTGCATGTTAAAGAACCCCAGGTGGTCGAAATGTCCGGAGCCCTCCACTACGGCGTTTCTCATAATCATATGGTGGTTTTGGGACGTTAAATTCCACATGTCAATCAAATCAATCAGCTTCACTGTGGTGACGTTTATTTTTATTTGGACACTAATTTTATGAAGGCAAAGTCCAGAAGGCAACAAGGTGCTGTCACTCAGGTGTGCCCGAACTTGAATCTGCCGATGTCTGTTTCTCACTATATTTATTTTTTTATTTTACCCCCAGGGCCAAATGGCATTATAGAGGGGGGTGAGTTATTTACCAAAAGTTATAAATGAACAAAAAGCAGTCAATACGGTTAGATCATACAAATAAATATCTTATAAGTACAATGTTTGGTAATACACCATATAATAATACATGTTAGCTTATACAACACAGAATCTAATTATACTATGGTAGCTACAATTATACAATGGGACGTACTAGTTACGTCCCAAAGTGCATTGTCCTCCGCTCCGTCCAATACATTGCTGATATCAGCATTTAGGGAAAGACTTGCACACCATTTCTTCTGGAAAAGGTTTCCATGCTGACGACACCCAGCCACAAATTGTCCCGAGTGGTGGATGTCTGAGGCGGCCAGTGGGGGTGGGGTCTTGGGATTGCCGCCCAGCATCCACTCATTGTAGAGTTTGTGCACGCAATCTTTGAAGGGTTTATTGAGCACTACATCTAGTAACTTGACGATTGATGTTAGTCCCCCGGGAATCACGACAAAGTCCGTCTTGCCATCGAACAGAGCTCCCTTCCCATCGGTCGTGAGGTGGCCTCGAAATGAGTTGAACACTAACATGCTCTGTCGCTGAAAAAGCGTATTGGGTTGTTGATTCCACACTAGCCGGATCTACTCAAGTGTGAGGGACTCATTCCTGAACCCTTTTTTCTCTCTCGATAACATCTCGGGGAAAGTTTTTTTTTTTTTTATTGGTAACTCTTTTCTCTTGAAAATTGTATAAGGGGGCAGCTTCTTTCCGTCAGCTGTGCAAACGAGCATCACTGTAAATCACGAATGCTTGTTGCCTATTGTCAAGAGTTTCTCTTGATTGGATCCTTTAGCGGTCACAGTCTGGTTCGAGGGCTCATCAAACCAGATAGGAGTTTTGTCAGCGTTTTCAATTTGTCCCATCTTGTAGCAACGCTGTCGACAAAGCGTTGGTACTCGACCAGCTTTTTATCAAAATATTCGGGCAGTTCTCAGCGCAAAGCTATTCTGCTTCATAAATCGGTGCACCCACAATGGCGAGCCTTTGAATTGCGCCCTCATGAGCCCAGAGTCGCGCGCTATTTCAATAGCTTTCACTCAGACGCACTCCAATGTCTCACGTAGTGACCTGGCACGCAGCTCCCGGATGAATTCGGCAAGTAAAGTTTCTAATTCGGGGTGCACTGCAGTTTGTCCACAAAACGAAGTTTTTTTGGGTGCTGCAGGATATGATGTGCTGCTTTTGGCTCCACCAGTATCGCACGCTTTTCTCTGATGCACCGAATTCTCATTTTGCCACCAGGTTGCCGTGCACTTCGACATACTCGACAACTTTTTTTTCTTCGAATCTAGCGTAAACTACCGTTGACTACTACTCATTTCTGAAGGAAAAAAATAAATAAATGAAACACCTGATGACGAAAATAAGTGAAGCAAAATGGCGTTGCTACTACACTGTAGGCCTTGCCTAGCCTTGCCCTGCAGCCCCACTGCTGATGCTCACGATGGCAATGGAAGCATTTGACTTCACCGGCACATTGTTGTGAGGCTTCCACATTTTCTTTTGCCGATTACTGGTATATAACTCGAGGGTCAACATTTCATTGTGTTTTTTTTTTTTTTTTTTAATTCGACCTATATTCCGGTTTGTATCTGCATCCATTCTGGGAGGCCCCATTGTGGTAGTCTAGTGGCTAAGGTACTCGGCTGCTGACGCGCAGGTTGCAGAATTGAATCCTGGCTGCGGTTGCTGCATTTTTGATGGAGGGGAAAATGCTGTAGGCCCGTGTGCTCAAATTTGGGTGCACGTAACCCAGGTGGTCAAAGTTTCCGGAGTCCTCCACTGTGGCGTCTCTCATAATCATATGGTGGTTTCTGGATATTAAATTCCACTTATCAATCAAACAATCCATTCTGGGAGACTGCGTGAGAGAAAGGCAACATGGCCACGACGGCATCTTTGCCTACTTTACTCTGTGTTAATCTGTTTTGTGAAGTATTAGTTCTTGCCTTTACTATCGCGTGATCCGTAATTATACTAGCTCTGTAATACAAAGACCATTTGTACTATCACAGACACTCCCCTTACAGGTGTGTCTGCGAAAGAACCAATAAAACATTTTCTAAAGTAAAATAGGGGGCATATTTGTCATAGTAAGTTTGAGGCAGAAGGACTGATTTTGCACGTACTCTAAAAAGCTCCACACGACTCCAAAGTTTCTTATTCGCGCACCAGATGTAGTTCACATATCTTAGTGCACTAATCAATTACAGGATCTGGGTGCTTGGTAGCAAGTATTTTTACATATCGATCGCATGTCATTGTTTGTTGCCACAGACATTCATTGTCATTTACTCAAAAGTAGCATACAATGCTAGTCAGCGATAGCCTCTCTCATCTATATGCAAAATAAATAGCACCATAGTAGATGTGTATTTGTAACAGGATGAGTTCTTTTTTTTTTTAATACAAAACAATGAATCGAAACTTTACTGTGTTTGGTTGATATGCTCATGGTTGCATCAGACGAAAATGCCGCACTTTTCCAGCGCAAGTCACAGTCACCTCCCATAAATATACTGATGAAACGATAAATACTTTCAGTTTTATTTTCTGGCACATTTTTAACACTCGCGCGTTAAAATTGCTTATGTGTGTTCTCGTCATTCCTGAGCACACCTACACAAACAAACAAGACGGGGCAGCAGCCAAGAAATAGTGACGACGCCAGCTCTGTCCAGGAAAACGTGTCAGGCATTGCACATTCCTTTTGCGGCGCCCAATCTTCAACGGTGTTGCAATATCAAAACGGCATTTAACGCGCAACTTTGATCTAGTAGGCTTAGATAGCATTGAAGAAACTGTCTTTGAGGGCAGATTCTAGCCGGTCAATAAACGATCCCAAGAGCATCGTGTGTGTGTGTGTGTGTGTGTGTGTGTGTGTGTGTGTGTGTGTGTGTGTGTCACGACTTATACTGCCTTGTCTGAACGTATCAGATTACCAAATACTGCGCATATATGTTCTTTTTAAGCGGGGATAATTTTCACATTGTACGACATGCTCATGGTTGCATCAGACGAAAATGCCGCACTTTGCCAGCGCAAGTCACTGTCACCTCTCGTATATATACTGATGAAATGATAAATACGACCCAGCGTAACAAAAGCTGTTGCATAAAAGTCTGTTGCATAAAATGCCCAGTCATGGTTCCAAAATTTCAGTTGACGGTGCCATTGGTTGCTTGTAAAAAAGCACACTGCGGCTTTTTTGATTTCGCGTGTCCTCTAGCACGATTTTTTTTGGCCTCACAGTTGAAAATCGTTTCGTGTATTGCGCGGTCGTGAGCGTAGTTAGGCCTAGCCACAATTCCAAGAGGTATGCTTGATCAATGTGTATGGGGCCACAGTGTCCGATTTTTGAAAGTGCATCGGGCTTGATTGAGACTAAAAAGTCATCCCGCTGTGGTCTTCTTAGCAAAATTCAAAGTGGTGATAAGCAGAGCTTCTAACCGAGAGTCAGTCCGGGATGCATGGCTGCGATGTTTGCGACGAGCCTGGCACGCTATGGTAACCTGAGAATTGAGCTTCCACTTGCAGCTGCCAAACTTGAGTGTAATTAATTTGTAAGTAATCCTCAACCTGGTAACGCAGAACGAACGCTCTGAATGCGCCACTAAGTAGCATGATGTTAGACTGCCGTGGTTTCACAATGCCCAAGCAGCAGCTGACGCTCTCCCGAAGCACAGATGGGACCAGTGGAGAGGCGTGCTAAAAGAACTTGGTGGACACAGCCATTTGGCACCTTAAGAAATTGTTACGCTTTTTGTGCATTTTCTTTTTCTACGCTTGTTTCTAAGTGGAAGAGCTAGCCAAAGCGGGGAACTTGAACAAGAAGTGCTGTCTCTGATGAGTGCAAAATGACGGTGCTTGGTTGTGCTGTGGAGAAGCTGTAATTTTTTTGAAAAGCTTTTTTTTTTTTCTGATTTCCATGATGAGTTTCATCACATGAGCAGGTGCAACAAACCTTTTTAGGCACTTCTAGGTAGTTTTTAGTGAATGTATTTTGGAAGTGGTTGAAAAAGGAATGCATAAACTCAAAATGGATTTTCAAAAAATCTATGTATTTTTTTTGTGTGCTTGCAATCGTCTCGCATTTGTAAAAGCTGTGCATGGAAAAAAAGTCTCTTCTTTCATGATGCTGGCACCAACATGTAAAGTGTTGTTGACACAACTTCAGTTATAGAAGGTCATGTAAATAAATGCAATTTGGCCTCTGCATTTTCTCAGTCTTCATAAGACATCTACAGAAAGTCACTTGGCACACTTCATCAACCTAGCGAAACAAAACACTTTCATGTTCTTACATTGTAAGGATATGCTTAGGGATCTTTTGCAACTTTTTTTTCTGTAATTTGGTTTTGAAGTACTCGAAATGTATCCGTGAAATATTAAAAAATTACTCCGTTTAATTCTTTTCTAGTCATTTCTATTTGCGCAGGCCTAATTCAGTGCCTAGCACTATCAGGGCCCAGCTTGTTCGTTTATAGATCTCGTGTGGCGTGGTCACGCTCACTGTCAAGCGCTCAGTATAGGCCTAAAACATGGCTAGCAATGCTCAAAACTGGGTTAAATTAAGTGATTTCTTAAATAATATGTTTAAGTACAATAAATGGGAAGACATCGCAATGACTATCTTAGTCATCGAAACTGCTTGTCACATGTGACTGAGTCCTGCATCGGGCAAAAGAGCACAAAATAGCTCCTCCCACCGGCACTTTGCCAGCTCCTAATTGGTTTCCACATCTGAAGGGGAAAGCAACATGACAGAACTCTCTGAAAACGACATGTATCTCAACTGCTGTAACAAGTAGGAAGTGAATAAAGTGCACCAAAAAAGCAGTGTGAGTGTTGGATACAATGTTTGCAAATCTCCTTAACAACATTCTACTTTTTCTGGGGAAACCCTTCATGCTTACCTCAAACATTGTCATTGACGGTTTGTTGAATGAAGCAGTAGAAACGCTGCAAACAAAAATGGCTGTTTCACCATGCTGCGTACTTCCTCAGATTTCACAGTATTGGCAGTGCATTTGTTTTGTAACAAGACCGCCACCTAAAGAATTACGTGTCATGAGTACTTTGTGGTACCCCAGTAATATTTACTCATATTTTGCGATGGGTGGTTTCATGATGCATTAGGCCAGCCAATTTTGTGTATTTTTCATGAAACCTTTGTAATACCGTTGAAATCTGTTACATGAAAGTACTGCTTGAACGAAACTATTGCCTGTGCAATGCTTGGTTTCGGACTTTTATTCTGCACTTATGTTCGCCTCTCGGTGAACGGAACTGCTGTTGAATGGAACACATTTTCCCGGTCTCTTCAGGTTCCATTTACTCAGAGTCTATATTGGGGACAATTGGAAGGTTTCGTCGACTTCTTGTAGTGTTTTTTTTTTCTAAAATATTTTACGCTTCAACAGGATTACTAAAAAAACTGGTAATTTTAGTTCATGGTACATAGGAGTATCTGATTTGTTATTGGTGAATTAAAAAGACTCGTATTGCATTTCTATGATGGCACAACTTTCGATGTATTCACTAACTTTACGGCGAATACGCATTGACATTTCAGTTAATGTTGTGCTTCGAATTAAGTGTGCAATTATTGAAGGCCATGTGCACGAATGGAGTGTTCTGTCTCGTGGTGCAGAATTTTCCCGACGTGGACGTGAGCGAGCTGATTTCCCAGGCCCTGTCTATCCAGCAGGAAGACCTCACGTTTTCCTTCAGCTGATGCTGTGCAGCAGCTACCTAAACAGGCAGCTACTGCATTCCTGCTCTAGGCCACACCGACCAATTATGCTCACAACTCCCCATAAGGGGACAATAAACTTTTTTTGCTTCGTTACATTGCAGTCATTGTCTTTATTCAAAGTCCTCTTGACAAGGCCTAATGCACAAATATGAGGCCATTCATTGTAAGCTTATTCTGGCCTCAGCTGTTCACTTTAAAATATGGACACACTGCACTTGCTCATAATTCACTGAGGCAATCTCTGCCAAGTACAGCAGCAATTTTCATTTTATCCGAGGTGGAAGAGGCAGAGCACTGTGGTGGCACCTCGGCAACGAAACAGCTGCAGCCCAGATACAGCAGATTGTTGCTTTCTTGTCCTAGCTAATCTGCTGCATTTGTACGAAATCTGCAACCTCGCAACTTTTCAATGTATGCGACCTAAAGAAATCTCTAGTACATTTCTTGTCATCTGCAACTGCTTATTCATCGATGATTGACGTTTTCTAAAAGGTGACCTCGCAGCAACTGGACTAGTGCAGCATGCTTAACTGCACTTCAAGTGACCTCGGTTGGATTGTACTATTTGCACTTGACACTCGACAATATTATTTTCTGCGCACCTGTGACTTGCTACATTTCAATAACACTGTTAGGCTCAAGGCTGTACTACTTTGTTTGCTGCTCGCTTTAATTGATGCCTGCTGTCTGAAATTCCCAGCCTTTTCCTCGTGTGTGTGAGTGTTTGTGCATTTTAATGAAACTAAGAAACTAACAGTCATTGATGCCAAGTAAAAGTATAGGAGACGACATTAAAAGTAATGGTAATGTAAGTGTGGAGAAAGAAAAGTGGACGAAAAGATGACTTGCCACAGGCAGAGACCGAACCTGTGACCTTTTAATAACGCATCCTATGTCCTACCATTTAGCAACCACGCTGCTGTCTCCTCGTCCACTTTGTGGGGTATATATGTGCACTAAACGTGGGAGCATTAGTCAGTGCCGCCAGAAGTCACTAAGGTAAAGGGGGGAATGATGTGGTATCGGGGTTTCGGTTCAGATTTTGGAACCGGTTGGCTAGCCCCTAGGGGGCGTTGTACATATATGTATATGTCGTGATGCTTGTGTATATAAAAGAGAGTTCCTGCTTGGCTACCGGCTGCTGCTTACTTCTTGTCGGCTGGCGCTTTAGCGCCGTGCCCTGTGTTCTCCGTACGGCGTGTCTACCGCACTATACTACAATAGTGAACCGATAACTCAAGATTTTGTGTGGTACGAGGCTACTGCTGTTCGCGCCGGCATAAGTGCTGCAAACATGACTGCGTGTACTAATTAGAAGCGTGTATACATGACATATCTATGTTGCGAGCCATGGGCATCAGCAAGGGGGTGCAAAAGGGGCACTTGCCCCCTTGCAGTCACAACAGCACTTGCCGTCACCCAAACTAGACCAGCGCTTTCCCTCTCCCTAAGCTGTGATGCAACAATGGTTTGCACTCCCCAAGAGAAAATCTCGAGGACGACCATACTGCAAGGGGAAATATTCTAACAGTTCTGAATCTGTCGACGTAAAGGGAAGTGGCGGCTGCGCGCTTGGAAACAACCAAAGACACCTTGCCACAACGCAATCGTTTCAGGGAGCAGAGAGATGAAAGCTACGAAAAAAAAAACTGTCGTTTTAGCTCGTATTTAAGTTTTCCAGTCCATATAAATAGCAGACAAGGTATTTCTAAGCGAGTACAAGCTATTTCTAAATGAGTCTTGTCCCAGGTGCATTTTTGATTGAGACGAAGTGGGCACTTCTCAACAATGATTACCTTGCCCTCGCAGATTGCACAATACAACCTCTATGAATACATGGTGTTCTTCATTGCCATAAAAAGTCAGTGCAACAGCAATGTCAACCAAGGTTGTGAGAAAGTCTGCCTGAAAAATAATGCGTGGGAACGCCTGTTGCCAACGTGCAGCACAACTTAGAAAAAGGAAAAAAAACTTATTGCACATTGCAGCTTCGCAAGCATACTTAGACGGGTGCAGTAAAGTAAAAAAAAAAGTTGACTCATGGATATATCGCCTCGTCAGGGCTCTTTGACATATAGAGCTTAATGTAAAAATCATTCCCATAGGCATGCAGTGGCAAACATTGACCGTAAAAAATTATTTGCTAAGAAAAGTAAGCAAAACCGCAGTGTAATTATGAATGTACAAAAACATGCTGCGTACACCTCTTATTTCACGTTGTAAGCAGAGCCGTGCTTGACTTATGAAACGCACTTCACCACGACGAGGACTACACCATCTACGCTTAACAGATAACGATGTCTTCTTCGATTGGGCGTGTCGCTGCAATGATGCATTTTCTCGAATACTAGTCCATTCAATGGCATACGCATAGGGAGGGGGGTCTCTATACCTACCGCCCACAGTCTTGTCACAGAGGAAAGCTGATGTGTGTGTGAGTATGTGTGTCCTGTCAAATTGGTGAGAACCCTCCTCGAAAAACATTTCTGGCTATATATATACCCTCTGTGAGAACGGTAACAACAGAATTGTTTAATTCGACAGTTTTGATCAGTATATTCTTCGTCGGGCATTCCTGACGAAGGCCAGACTCTGGTCAAAACTGTCGAATTAAACGCTTTCATTGTTACCGTTCTCATGAAGAATCTACTTGACTTATTGCAACGCTACTGCCACTTTCCCTACCATGCTTACACACACATACACACACACACAACACATATATTTAAATATATATATATATATATATTGAAGAAAAGAAGCTGGTAAATGTACGAGAAAGCAAGCAGTTCCTTTATCGATTTACGTTTCGGCCATGCCACGGCCGAAACGTAAATCGATAAAGGAACTAACTGTTTGCTTTCTCGTACGTGTACCAGCTTCTTTTCTTATACGTACCAGAACCACTGAATATATATATATATATATATATATATATATATATATATATATATATATATATATAAGGCTTATGTGTAGAAGAATAACTTTGGTTGCCGCAAGGTCGGTGAATAACTTCGCCGACACAACTGGCGTGCGGTGAGGAGATTCAACTTTGAGGCTCGGGAGTTTAACCTGCGGCTGCTGAATTTGTGTCATTAGAGAGAGGACATCTATGTAAACCATTGGACCAACGCACTCCTGCCATGGACTGTGCTCGTGGTCGATGGTCGATTGTCCTCGACCTACGGCAACCCTACGTCGACAACTGGTTGGACCACGCACCACAGCCGGAAGCTTACGAGCTTTGCGAGACGCCATTCTACTCCCAGGCATTCTGTCGTGACCTTTCCGGTGACACCAGTCGAGGCGGCGAAGGGAAGAAAGAGAACCAAGTGGCTCCACAAACAGCCACTTCTCCTTCTAAAGGACAGCAAACCCCGTCGAGACCCCCATCACGGAGTGCGCGACCGCCATCACGGGTACCACAGCTGTCGACGCCACCTTTGAGACACACCCCGAAAAAGCTGACAGGGTTAATTCGGGCCAACAACGACGGCCAACCATACCGCAATCAACAACAACCAGTAGCCAGAATCAACCATCCCCAAGCAGCGAAAATCAGCAGCCAGCATTAGCCAAGAGCAACCAGCAGCAGCCTGCAGCAATTGCCTACAGGCCAGCTCGTCACGAGCAGCACAACGGGACGGAGCTCCAATCCAAACCAGGCACGACCTCCGAATATCTTGCGGTTCTATTCGCCACGTCTGTGCATAGTGACATACTGGCTGTGCGAATGGGCAAACATTGTCTGCTTCAGATGAATTAGGCCACAGAACAGGTCTAAATTTTTTTAAACTTATAAAAGTTGTTGACAAACAAATACGGCACGAAATTCACATGCGTAGTTTCGAAGAATATGTACTGGCGGGTACATTCTGATTCTGATTGTTGTTATGAATAGATCGGACTAGATCGAGGAGGGCAGGCGACAACTAAATAACAAACAATTCTACAAACACCTTGACTCGGACCCTACCACTGAGTTTGATTATTTTGTTTTCATTATGTTTCGTAAAGTAACAGTTGGCGTATTTTATTTTAATAAAGAAGGCTGAGTAAAAGCCACTGTTTAGAATTCCATCTGTGTTTGGCATTACGTGTTAGTATGTGTGTCAGTGTAGGTTAACTTTCAACCTTGTTTTGTATAACGCAAGCAAGTTTGATTTTCATGGTCCTATTTTCTTATTTTTTCGAGCATGCTTTCTCTTGTCGCGATGATCGTTGGCAGCCCGCATTGAATGAGAGCTTGTCGGAGGACTAACTGTGTTATGTCTAACAGTTTGACGCTTGCAAGCGACGCCAATGTGCGTGATTCAGAAGTGCTTGGTGTTCTAAATTGTAGTTTCAAGGCCAAATTGAGTTAACCTCAGCAGCTTTGATCGTCCACGATCTGCCTAAATCACAATTGTGAATTGCTCGAAAAAAAGGCTGTTTGGTTTAAAAGTGCCATGCACTGACACTTAGCTAAAAGTGTGTCCACATTGTGCATTTCTCCTGAGATACATTGCTCGTGATGCTATTCTTTAGCTCTGCTTAATCTCGAGGAAATATTTTTGTTTCTGCTGGTCTGGCGATTTGATTAGCATTTGGAGGGTGCTTGCTTTGGCCAGAGTGGTTTGGCTTTGCGCTTGACTCCGCCGTTCCAGTGATCTCCTGCAGGGCTGTGAAAGTCACTAAGGGTGGAGAAAACGAAGCGGCTACAGTTCTCGGCAGTCAACCAGCATTCCTCCTTCCGAGCCGCGCTAGACGGCTCAAAACTCCAGATGTATTGTCTGGCGGCGGGGGTGCTGTTATGCCACAGATATGGTCCTCGTTCGGGAGCGCTTTTTTTCACGAGATCGAGCACTGTTCCGGCGAACTACTGTCTCCCCCCCCCCCAGCGCCACCTCCCACGCAGAAGGCGCCTCCTCTGTCGAGCCACCTTGCAGTTCTGGGCATGCGTCTCCTCCGCCGAGCCCCGGGAACTGGCCTGAGAAAAGGGACCAAAGACGTTATTTAAGGCCGTGCCGGCCCCATATTTGGAAGGATTTTGCCCCAGCCAACTTTGTCGAGCTGGCCAGCTTTGTACGAACTATAACCCGAGATCGAGC